TGGCTACAATGGGTGATCTGTTTGGTATTTTAAGCAAAAAACTTCACAGACATGTTTTGAATAGGTATGGCCCTACAATATATTTTTCCAATATAGCATAATAGGTCCACTTTAAGTAAAGTACTTGAGTAAATGTACTTAGTTACACCACTGGAGCAGGTCCAGATCATACCTCACTGCCTATAGCAGCATGTGGTTTAAGGCAAGCCTGAACATGCCCTGACTCCAAGCGTTAGACGTGTTCACCCTCCTCTCACATGTGTTCACAGTGTCTGCCTCCCAAACTGGTAGCTGCTTCCACAGAAGAGGAGTTTGAGAACTCTGGCTCCCATTCTACTTTCAGAGGCTGTAGGAACTACAAGTCCCCCAGGTTCTCTGGGAACACAGGCAGTGTTTCCCCTACCATTGTCTTGGAGGGGCGCTGCGCCCCGCCAACGGAGTCCCGCGCCCCCCCTGAAAATCAAGGTGTTAAAAAAAAAAAAAAAAATTATAATTGCAACTAATCTATATCTACTGTCACTTTTCACATTGAACATGTGCTCTTTTATTAAATGAACTAAACGCTTTCATTTTAAGTTGTGAGTTTAGTGTTTTTGATCCTAAAGGCCCTGACACACCAGGCCAAAATCGGCCATCTTCGTTAGTCAGACGACGAAGCGTGCCCTGTCGCCCAAACTCAATTTGGTGTGTCCCGAACCGTCGGCCGTGACACGCCTTATTTGGCCTTTCATGGCCGACGCATGGCCGATTCAACATGTTGAATCGGCCATGCGGCGGCAACAGGCAGTCGGACCAAGAAACCACTCTGATTGGCTGTTCAGCTAGCGAATGAGAAGCGAAACGGAAGTGAGGGACGTAAACAAACGTTTTAAGAAGGCACAGAACAGACGGCTATTCATTTTCATCTCATCGGTTTATTTGTCAGTATAAAGTTGCAGGATTAGTCTCAAGTACCTCAACATTGTCCTTAAGTACAGTGTCTAAGTAAATGAGATACTGTCTACTGCTGTTCATTTACCTATTGTGAGTCGCCTCGGATAAAAGCATCACATGGAAATGTAAATTTAGCAAGAAGTGGCCATTATTACATTACATACATTACTACATTGCTGACTCAATAAACTACACACCCGCCAGAACACTGCGATCATCAGATGCAGGTCTATTAACTGTGATTTTATAGTATGTCTGCACTTTATGTGCTCATTTCATCATTCATGTATTTTATATTCTACTAAAACTGTCTAACCATAAACAAGGTGGCCTGTTGGGATTACTATATATATATATATATATATATATATATATATATAATATATCTGCATTATTTTATCCCACTTTATGCTTTGCTCTTGCTGCTTGTTTTACACTGATGTTATGTCTTATTTCTTACTGATGTAAAGCACTTTGAACTGCAATCCCCTGTATGAAAGGTGCTATACAAATAAAGTTATTATTATTATTCAGATGGATGTTTCTGCCCCTCTGTTCATTCTCCCATTATCCTCCTCAATCTGCCTAGAAGTATTTTAATGTTGTAGCTGTTACTATAACCAATACTAATGCTAGGGCTGCAACTGACAGTTATGTAGGCACATTGTTATTGTTTCTTATCGCTGTGTGATTAAAAGAATAAACACAAATAGCAGGATAGGCAATGCAAAACTTTATTTCGTACCTTCATACACACATAACACAACATTAGAATGAGCTTTTATCAACGCCTACATGATGATAACCTGTCAACATGACAGGAAAATCCACATGACATTAATACAGAGCGGGCAGAACCCAAATCTGCATTCAAAGAATACACTTTACCAAAGCTTGAGGAAAATATCTGAAATCTGGCATTTCATTTAACTCCAGCTCTCAACACAGGTTCGGGAAAGCCCCATGAGCTTCTCGCTGTAGTATCCATGATTTCACCCATTTAGTGCGGTTTCTCCTAATTCTTCGCTTCCGCCTCTTGAGAGACTGTTGCTTGAGAATGTCTTCCACAAGCAACACTCCAATGGCTGATAGCTCCAGTACCGCACGAAACATGTTTTCGATGGGCGAGAGTGAAAATGGAACGCACACGCTATTTGTTGTTTGTTTATATCACGCGGTCTGTTCTTCTTCTCTGTCTTCCGGTTGTTGCCTATTTTGAATGACGAATACACACTACCGCCGCCTGCTGGTAAGGCTGAAGTCTTTGCGGTGTGTTCCAGTGTGACACATGGCCAAGACGCAGGAGAACACGGCGACGCAACAGTCGGCGTCGGCGAGTTCTCTGGTGACTGCCTGGTGTGTCAGGGCCTGAAGAAACATTGATGCATTAATCAATAACAATAATCCACAGCTCCTCTCCCTGCTCCAGGGGATTTAAAAAAAAAATATCCCAAACGTGAGAGGGGTTTAGCATGCCACAAAGGTCTGAAGGGTAGAACCCAGGACGTTGAGGTTTTGGGGCACATGCTGTGACCTCTTGGTGCTCCCAGTGCAGGTCTTGTAAATAGCGCTTAGCTTTTTTTGCTAGCTTTCTGATCTTCATGTAGAATACAAGCATTCACTCTTAGGGGAATATGCTACTCTTTACAATTCTGCCTTGCTCTAGAAGACATGTGGCAAATCCAAACCAAGGTTGACAACAGGTCTTTGGATTTAGTAGGTGCATCACAACTTTTCAGATTCTATTTCTTTCCTGCACTCGCCGTTTGAGGCGCAGTACTATAGTGTAGAATGGAGGGTGAGACTCAACAGGTTGTCTAGTTACAACCAAATCAAATTGTTGGCTCGTTGGCAGACACCTTTGAGTGAAGCTCAGAACTCTAACCATTCACTGTGAGGTTGCCTCAGTATGGGGAGTGGTTTCCTGCTGAAGAGTGGCTCAGAAAAATTCATTGCATGTTTACATGAGATAGTTGTAAATAACAGCATGCAATAACTGAGATGCAAGGCAGTAGAAGTCGGAGGACGGTTCTGGATTTGACTGGAACACGTGCCGGTCACAGCCATGTAAATAACTGATTTCACAGGGCTGCAGGCTCTATTTATAACGCAGGCTGAGGGCAGTAACATCAGAGTACAAGCTCTCTTCTGTGTGTTCAGGCCAGAGGCACACTGAACTTATTTAAAGGAGCACTTAAAATAGGATTTCTTTATAGCTGGATGGGGTTACATTAGATACATGCTATTAGGGATGGGTACCGAGCCCCGGTATTAAACGGGCCCCGGGGCTGAATTATTAAAGACCGTGGTACCGTTAAGCTCCGACGTTATCGGTCTTTTTATCGGTACGGGAGACATCTAAAAAATGTCATGTGTATTATTGCTACACAAACATTATATTGCAGTTTTAGTGTCGCCAACTCCGTTTCTAATACGCAAAAAGACTGCAAAATGCGTCATTTTTTGTATTTTCGATCTCTCCAATCCAGATGAGAGATCTCTCTCCCCCGCCTGTGTGCGAGGGGGCGGGGCAGTTTACACACACGCAGCTGCTACATGCAGCAACACACACACACACACACACACGGAGGAGATGGCGGAGAGAACGCGCTCCGAGGTGTGGTTAAACTTTACCCGTCTCGCTCGTTGCCTAAAGTGCAATAAGAGTTTAGCATGTCAGGGCGGTAACACGAGCAATTTGTCTAAACATCTTGCAAAAGTGCACCACGTTCAGACGGAGAAATGCACCGGGTTCGACTGTCTCTCTAGTAGCTCTGTAGCCCCATCCACGAGTAACGTTTCCACGTCAGGTATATTATGTATGCTAGCAGCAACACACGGAGCTAACTCAATGATTCAAACATGGGTTAATGATTAGAGGGAACTGAGTTATTTAGTTTGTTAAAGTTTCAGCCATTCTGTTCACAGTTCTGTCATCAGATTATTTAATATGATTTGTTAAAACGTTGTTGTTTCTGTTGATGTGAACTATTATGTATTTCATTTAAATAAAAAGCAATGTTAGTTTTGTTCACAATTTGTTAATTTTCATTTAATTGTTTATTTGAATAGGGACAATGCACATTAATGAACACTTTAGACAAATAATGCTTCAAGTGTAAATATGCCGGATTTTAGCTTTGAGCTAATTTCCATCCGTAGTCCCTGACATACAACATATAGTTAGTTTACCTAATTTTTCTCTCCAAAAGAACCGATAAGAGTACCGTTAAAAGACCGGACCGATAAGCGGTATCGATAAAAGTAGTAGTACCGTTAAAACCTTAACGATACCCATCCCTACATGCTATTCAAAAGCTGGACAGACATGTCAACTTGTAAGCGAGCAGAAATGGTAAAATCTTAAAATAACAATATTGAAGTCTCAAGATGTTATATTAATCAAACATCTCAAAAAGGAATGATTTGCATTTTGAGGAACAAATAAATGTTCTCTACAATTTTCAACACTATGCTTTCACCAATTCATTCTGAAAGTTAATATTGCATAAAAAAGTATTATTGCTAACAGAGCTACGCCTGTTATTAATGTGATTAATTAATGATTTATGAAAAATCCCCTCCTTGTGGCCCCACCTTTTAAGAAATCATAGCCAGTTATTGTAGTCTATTATACATGGTTTCATTGAATAAACTAAATAAACGATTGTGCTGTGTTCCAGATAAGTAAAGGGAAGGCTGTAAGTGTGTCATGTTTAATGGCACGGATTATGTGAGATCATAACATGGATATTAAAATCGTGCCGGATAGGGAAGATGGTGAGCCGGCATGCGACTGTGTGTGCAATGCTAATACCTATAACCTAATCATTAACTTTAGTACAAAAGATAACAGCAATACAACTCAGTGAAACACAACCAACACAACACATGAACAAACATGAAGGCATATCAGGATTTGACACATGTGGAGGATTCTCTGGAGCTTAGAGGTCTTAGTAGTTCTTTCTAAATGCTGCCCCAAGGCTGTACAATACACACACAATACTAAAACTAATCCATATGTTAGGTTAGACATTAATGACATTCCTGTTTGTGTTCTACAGGATCCTGCTGACATGCATCGCCTGCCTGTCCTGTTATTCTGTCCATCTGCTGCTGCGCAGTGCTGGAGTTGTGGGTGAGGACACACACACACACACACAAACGCACACACACACACACACACACACACACACACACACACACACACACACACACACACACACACACACACACACACACACACACACACACACACACACACACACACACACACACACACACACACACACACACACACACACATAATTGTATTTAAGATTTCTGCATCTTCATCATTGCTTTGCAATACTCAGGTCTTTAGGCTATTTCCTTATTTGTTCCAAAGCGTTAAGCAGTTCACTTCCTGTTGTGTCTCTCTGCAGGTATTCGTGCCTATGAGCAGCTGGGCCTGAGAGCTTTTGGTCATCCAGGGAAGATTGTAGCAGGGATCGCCATCACGCTTCATAACATTGGAGGTAAGACACTTGTATAAAGCCTACAGCATGTGTCATTATTGAAATCTTTGCCAACAGAACCAAATGTGCCAAAACATCAGTGTTTGAAATGATTAAATAAATAAAAGTAAACAAATCCATCTGGCCGTATAGACTAATAATCACTCTTCTTCCCACTGTCTCCTCCTGTGCAGCCATGTCCAGCTACCTGTTCATCGTCAAATCTGAGCTACCGCTGGTCATCCAAGCCTTTCTTGACCAGACATCCAGCTCTGGGTGAGTAGGCCTACAACACTGAAATAAACACATTTTTTAATTACATTTAATAAAAGTTTCCCCTGCCCAATTAGAGATACCTAGAGAATACAAACCCCATGTCAATCTCTTAATGCTTTCTGACCTTCTGGCTCTCAGTTTCAAGCCCATTGGTTCCTATTGAAAAGTTCATCTATGAACACCTAAAACAAATATGCATAGTGGAATTTTCCAATGAATTAATCATTTTTAACAAAAGTTATTTAACAGTAGGAAATAGTGCATTTGAAGAGTACTATTCTCAGCTGGAAATACATTTACATTTGGTGCTCTATTGACAAGTTCAGTCAGCTGACATAATGAAATATAATGTAAAACCTCAGCACAGGAAGTACGGGGGGAGAGGAGTATGGCAAGTGATTGACAGCCTGAAATAGTTCTCAGAGCCGGCCTCCCTTTGTTACTGGAGCAGTCTGGAAGTCTGGCCTATTTTTAAGAGCTTATACAGTATACTTTTAAGTCTGCAGGCATCACAGATTGCATTCTTCAAAATTAATAATTTAGTAACGTTCTTGTGTGTTACCATGCCATCAGCCAAGTCTGTAAGCAAAGTCTCCTATTGCAGTAACTTGTTGAGGTTTGTAAAATAGCAGATCAGAAGTCTTTATTCAACATCCTGCCCCCTGGGACAGACTGAACAAAAATGGTGATTCTAAAAGAGAACTGACACAGAGCAAATGGTTACCGTGCATGCACCACAACCACAATTTCCAAGGATCGATTCCAGCCAACTATTTGTGTGTATGCCTAACTGTGTGGGATATCATTTGTTCTGCCACTAGGGAATGGTACATGAATGGAAACTACCTCATCATGATCGTCTCCATCTGCATCATCTTCCCACTGGCCCTGATGAAACACCTGGGTATGCCACATCCCTTCATCTTATCATACTAAAACTCCTCAGACAGCTTGTTGAAACAAGACATCACTTCATTTAAGTCTTTGACAGAACTTAACCTAACTCATAAGGAGACAAATGATAGATGCTGCTCTCCAATAGGACTCAGAGAAGCCAAAGGAAAATCAAACTGCATAAAATCTGTTTCACTAACATAACTCACACTTTTGTAACAGAGCGCCTCCAGCAGGGGTTTCCAAACTACGGCCCAGGTCCATTTGAATTGGCCCTCAGCTAATTGTAAAAGTATAATGAAATATGACCCACACCTGAAACTCGTGCTTCACTTATAATTAGGGATGTCCCGATCACCTTTTTTTGCTCCCGATCCGATTCCGATCATTTGATTTTGACAATCTGCCGATACCGATTTTTCCCGATCCGATCTTTATGCAATGCATTAAGAGGAAAAAAAAGGTAACAGATAACGGCTGGTCATCCAACGCGATGAATTCAGCTATCTTGGCTGTTATTTTTTTGGCCTTTTCACTGTTCTGGGGTAGTTTCTCTTTCCTTTTAAAAGTCTCTGAAAGTGTCGGTTGTTTCAGTGCCGTTACCTGAGTGGCCGCTGTGTACTCGTCGTGTTGTTGTTGGTGGTGTTTGTATTAGATTGGTCATGTTGAACGTAGATCTGTTCTTTCCACCACGCGGAACCTCCGCCTTGCAAACATTGCATCTGGCTGTTACACTGCCTTCGCTTTCAATTTTATAATACTTCCAAACTCCTGACATTTTCTCTGTCCCGACTCCCGAGTCACCAGCTGAACGTAGCCTCTTGTTAGCTTACTGCTACTATTAGACACTGCGCCCTGCCCACTCTGTTGCCAGATTTGAGAGAAATAAGCAACCAGGTCTATGAAAACAAGCCCAAAAGAAGCAACACATACATGATGTTGTGTAATTGTGTAAAAAATCCGATCCCCGATTTTTTTCTCCCGATCCCCGATCACGTGAAAATCACGTGATCGGCTCCGATCCCCGATCACGTGATCGGATCGGGACATCCCTACTTATAATGTTCTTCTTAAATATATCTAAACATATATGACACAGTATTCATGTGTTAATAAGCCACTTTTTTTGATGATAATATTTTCCAACAAATGTTATTTGATCAAAAAAGCCCAATAACTTATCTGCATAACAAGAAGTAAACCCTTCCTATTTTCCCCGGTTGCCCCCCCCCCAAAAGCTTGGACAACCCTGGCCTATACTATATTGTATGTATTTTCTCAGTTGTGTCTGAGAGTTGTCTTCTTGCTCACTGCAGGGTATCTGGGTTACACAAGTGGCTTCTCTATCTCCTGCATGGTCTTCTTCCTGTCTGCGGTGAGTCTGGGGGTAGTATCATCTTGTAAAGGTCTTCAATGACATCCACTTAAACACAGACAGTGGCAGAACTTCAGTGTTAGTATTATTAGATCTCAGTGCTGCATTTGACACTGTTGACCACAACATATTACTAGACCGACTAGAAAACTGGGTGGGACTTTCGGCAACAGTTCTAAATTGGTTTGAGTCCTACTTAAAGGACAGAAAAAACTTTATTTCTATAGGTAAATACACATCTGAGTTGACAAATATGACATGTGGGGTACCTCAAGGCTCCATCTTGGGGCCTCTTCTCTTTAACATCTACATGCTACCACTGGCTCAGATAATGAAAAACAACAAAATAAGTTACCATAGCTATGCGGATGACACACAAATTTACGTAACAATTTCACCAGGAGATTATGCTCCAATTCAAACACTGAGTAAGTGCATTGAACAAATCAATGACTGGATGTGTCAGAACTTTCTCCAATTAAACAAAGATAAAACTGAGGTAATGGTTTTTGGAGCCAAGGCAGAACGTATAAAAGTTAGCGCTGAGCTTCAGTCTGCAATGTTCAAAACAACAGATAAAGCCAGAAATCTAGGTGTAGTCATGGACTCTGACCTGAGTTTCAACAGTCACATTAAAACAGTTACTAAATCAGCCTACTATCACCTAAAGAACATATCTAGGATTAAAGGACTAATGTCACAGCAGGATTTGGAAAAACTTGTCCATGCTTTTATCTTCAGTAGACTCGACTACTGCAATGGTGTCTTTACAGGCCTCACTAAAAAATCTATTAGAAAGCTGCAGCTAATTCAGAACGCCGCTGCTCGAGTCCTCACTAACACTAAGAAAGTGGATCACATCACTCCTGTTCTGAAGTCTTTACACTGGCTTCCTGTGTGTCAAAGAATAGATTTCAAAATATTGTTGCTGGTTTATAAAGCTTTGAATGGTTTAGGCCCAAAATACATGTCTGACCTACTGCTAAATTATGAACCATCCAGAACCCTCAGGTCTTCAGGGACTGGTCAACTTTCTGTCCCCAGAGTCAGAACTAAACATGGTAAAGCAGCATTCAGTTATTATGCTCCGAATATCTGGAACAAACTCCCAGAAACCTGCAGGTCCGCTGCAACTCTTACTACTTTTAAATCCAGGCTGAAGACTTTTCTTTTTGCCGCTGCTTTTAATTGAACTATTCACATCTTAAACTGCACTGTAACTTTTAACTTTTATCCATGTATTTTTTCTTTTAATGTTTATTTTATTATCTTTCCTTTTTAATGACTGATTTTAAATGCCATTTTTAAAATGTCTTCCATTTTTGTAAAGCACTTTGAATTACCTTGTGTTGAAAGGTGCTATATAAATAAACTTGCCTTGCCTTGCCTTGCCTTGCCTATCAGTGTATTACTTTATTCCTATGTTTACTGTGGTGCTGGAGAAATGATTTGTTCTCCAAATCTCCAGCTATGACTTGGTGAACTCAGGGCGACTTGTACTCCGTGTGTGGAAATCAGTAGCACTGGTGAATATATCCACCAGGAGGAGCACGTTTACCTGGATTCAGCTGTTATTATCATATTTCATATAAGGTTGTGTTCTTCCCACACAGAGACAGAGCATTAACATCTTATATTTTAGTTTTTTATATTTGTATTATAATTAGTGAGGCATTGATGTTTATCACTTTAAAGTCTAGCTGCACGTGGAGAGGGTGGGGGGGGTATCTGTCTGTCCAGCTGCAGGTGGAGAGGGTGGGGGGGTTATCTGTCTGTCCAGCTACAGGTGGAGAGGGGGGGTGGGGTCATCAATGATGGACAACAGTTTGTTAAAAGCATAACAGCTATGAACAATGGATTAAATGACTGTTTGTTACGTAAAAGACTAAAGGTGTAAATCCATTTCTTGTTAGCACAGTCAAAGCATTGGTTCATGGTTTTTACTAACTGGTATCAGTATGCTGTTATTTCGGCACCAGTTTGATACGTGCATTACAATTATTTCACGTCAAAATATGTTTATTTTGTTGTTATTAGTATCTACATGGAGATAAGCCCTGTATCTTCAAAACTGTGATGTTGTCCGGTGTGAACGCACCTTTAAAGTTTCAAACCCATTCCTCACTGTCCACAATTTCACTGGTTTGGTTCAGTCTCTCTGCTAATCAACCACCAGCACCAGCAGACTGTTTGAGCCACTGTACACTCCCTGCACACAGTTAGAGACTAGCTGGGGGGCATAGTGGAGCATGGATGTGGAATGGAAGGCCTGTTTGCCTTTTTGCTAACGAATGAACTTAGGTAAAGGTAATCATTAAGTGCCATGTGCAAAAACTCAATATAACAACAACGGAGATATAGAGACGAAGAGCTAAAATACCAACTACAATATTTTAGGGAGATTCCAAATAGTACCAACATGTATTTTCTTTAGTAACCAAAGGCAAGAAAGATAGCATTTGTTCTCCCTCCTCAAACTCTCTTTATCTACCACATCAGGTCATCTATAAGAAGTTCAAAATCGCATGCCCTCTGGAAGTGTTTGGCAACCACTCTGTGAACGCAGTCTTCCTGGAGGACACATGCACTGCCAAATACTTCACCATCAATCAAGAGGTCAGAGAGTTTATGATCTGGAACTATTAGTGGGTGCATCATATTTCACAGGGAGTTTATGAAGTTGCTGTGTTATTTGATTTAAAGACGGCGTATACCATCCCCATCCTGGCATTTGCTTTTGTTTGTCACCCTGAAGTGCTTCCCATCTACACCGAACTCAGCAAGTACGATGCACACTTCCTGATATTCACATACAGTGTGCATGAAAAAACATTCATGCCTGTGAGAGTCAAAAGGGAATACTCTTTGGTTCATACCCTTTCCTGCCTTTTAAAGGTGCAGGAGTTGATGATGCTCAAAATTGAAATAATATTTTCCAAACACCTTGGGTCCAATTTTTGTGGTTTTGTGCCATCGGAAGTTGATGGAAAAATACCGTTTATATATTTATATAATTTTTTTAAATAAGTATACCTAAAATGTCTAACATGGACAGTAGTTTACAGCTTCATTTTCAGATTTGTATATATTATTTTCTTAAAAGAAACGTTTTCAATAGCCATGCTTCACTCTCTTTCATTTTTTTTACTGTACTGTTCTGTTATAACACCTGCCATCTTTTCCCCTAAAGCCCAACCAAGAGAAGAATGCAGAATATTGGCAATGTCTCCATCCTGGGCATGTTCACCATGTACTTCTTCACAGCCACATTTGGATACCTGACCTTCTTTGGTAAGAGTGACAGATCTTTAACAGTCTGCAGAACATAGCTCAGTCTAGCTCAGTAAGGTGACACAGGTTTTGTATCTGTGTGTGTGTGTGTGTGTGTGTGTGTGTGTGTGTGTGTGTGTGTGTGTGTGTGTGTAGGGAACACTGAAGCAGAGCTGCTCCATACCTACAGTAAGGTGGACCCCCTGGACACTCTGATCCTGTGTGTCCGACTGGCCGTCCTGGTGGCTGTCACTCTGACCGTTCCTGTTGTCTTGTTTCCTGTAAGAACATGTGTGGCCTTCACACTCACATCCATCTGACGTATGACACTGACCTGAACTGCCTGTCGCTCTGTCTCAAATTGCGTACTTCTTTATTTGCTGTTTTGAGTGCATAAGTGCGTCCCATTGCAAAATATGGCAAGTTAAAAAAGTTATAATTTTTTTTTAAAAACGTTTAAAAGTAAAATACCACTTAACTGCCGTTGAAAATAAGCCACCGTTAATGCAAAGGGTAAATTGCTTAATCTGCAATGCTAACAGAAGCAATGTCATGTCCTGGCAGGGCACAGCTGCTGTGTACAATTTGAGACAACACTACACGATCAGAATTCACACACTGCATACGCTTTCACAGTGCAGGACATGCAGTATACTAAGGGAAGGTGTTGTGTCCTACGTGCATGTATCCCTGTGGACTTTGAGGAGCAGCTAAACACCTTCCACCATCAAGCACTGGAGACCGGAGTAGTCGTTTATAATCAGTTTAAGACGGAAAAAGGCTGAAACTAAGAAATAAAACACAATACAATAGACACATAAATATCTAGAAGAATAGTTACAATCGCTATAAAACAATAAGTTGGAGAAATGCCAGAGAATATACACACACATGGATTTTTTTCAAACCCAAAAATTATCTTTTTATACATTTAACTTACCTAACATATTTAGAATAAATAAAATAAGACTATGTTTGTAATGGATGTACCAACCAAGAATGCAACCAAAGGAGTGGAAACGAGGATTGAAGAAGATTGTCACATGGTATATTGGTCACATTTTAGAACTTTATCACAAATGAACTACTGCCAGCAGGGGGAGATACATCTAACTAAATGAAGAAGCATTCAAATTGAGAAACAGCATGCGTGTTAGGTTGGTTGCTACATGGACTGGCTCTGATACCTGTGTAGCTACAGGCTATGTGTCCTAACGTCTGTGTTTGTGTCAGATCCGCCGGGCCCTCCTGGAGCTGCTGTTTCCAGGGAGGCCCTTCAACTGGATCCGCCACATCGCCATCGCCCTCTGTCTGCTGTGTGTGGTCAACCTGCTGGTCATCCTCGTTCCCAACATTCGAGACATCTTTGGCATTAGTGGTGGGTTATGAGACTTGGAATTTGGAACTACAAACATAGCTCAAAATACTTAAAATTATTATTATTATTAATATGTTTTGTTTTCTTATGAAATTACTTTTCCTTAGGATTTTGCTGATTTTATAACTATTTGAGTTTAATAGACAATAAGAAAACAATTATTATTTTCCAGTATCTAGAGTTAGAGCAGACATCAAGTTTGTAAAAGTATTCGAGATACGTGGTATTAATTCAGCCTTTAATTTGTATTAGAGGCCTTTAACGTTGTCAGTCACAACAGAGGACTGATCAGTGGCGTTTGCTCCAGGAGGCCAAGGGAAGCCAGGCTTTCCCTGTTTTTTCGGACTGAAGTTATCATTTTAATAAATAAAAAAAACACTTTGTTTAGTTTCGGTAATCCTTCTGTGCTGTGTGTTGCTGCCATCTCTCCCCCATTCTCATGAGGCGTGTTCACACCGCAGTACTTTTCCCACTTTAGTTCTGATATAGTTCCGAAATGTTGCGTTCACACCAAAAAAATCCGGAACTAAAATTAGTTAACCTGTTAAGCCCGAGAGACCCCGGTACCGGGGCACTGCCGCAACATCTTGCAGGAAACAGTGTCTGAGGGCATGTTCATTTAATAAACTATGAATGTTTTATATCCATGTAACGGGAAGAAACTCATCTAACTGATAATTTTTTTTTTTTTTTTCAAAAGAAAACCCACAATGCTAACACTGAGCCTCTGAATTAGCAACGAGCGAAAAATGCTAACAGATTACTGCACCAAAAATCACTCACAAAACCTTATTATTTATCTTTTCTCCACATCCATGACATCATTTCACATCGTGAGGTGACACAGAATCGAAGGGTACCCTCATTTTCACTGAATTATACGAAATCGCGACGTTATAAACAAAAACAGACATCAAAACATGTGGCGCTAGGTAGCTAAAAATGCTAACATGCTTACCTTGGCTCTGTAGTCTCTCCAAAGTGGTCTTCAATGGCATTACAACGATAAAAACGCTGCTGAAGTTAATCCATAGGTTAATCCAATGTGTCTGTGTCCCTTTGAAATGATTTCTGATAATCCATGAGCAATGAGACTGCTTTTCCGTTTCTAGCTGTCAGAGTGAGAGATAGTTTCACTCTAATGCAACATTTTTTTTTTTTTTAAAAGATCAGTTAGCTGAGTTTCTTCCCGTTACATGGATATAAAACATTCATAGTTTATTAAATATTAAGATTCCTTAGATGTTGTTTCCTGCAAATGACGCGTTTATCCGCCCGGTACCGGGGGGGGCGGTGCGTAACAGGTTAAAATAAAAAACATCTATATTGATTCTGACTTTTCTACATCCAACTCACAGGTTTATCATTACTTTGGGAAAAAAGATTATTAATTTAACCCTTTTAGAAGGGAAGATATGGTCATTTTTTCTGGGAATGTCATTTTCGAGCCTGAGACCTGAAAAACAGGCTCAGGGCTTAACAGGTTAAATGCTCCCATTTGCTCAGATTAAGAACAACGACTTAGTATTTTAATGCAGATGACACTCAGTTTACCATAACAATATCACCATAATGTGATACAAACACTAGTAGTATAGTAGAGTAGTTATGGATGCAGAATAAAATCTATCATACAAATTGATATAAATATGAAATTAGTCAGAAGAATATCAGGAGTGAAAGCACTCACTTCAGCAGGGTTGTATTCACAGGACTTCAGTTCTTGGGTCTTGTCTGGCTTTGTGTGAAAAACACTTTTTAATGTTTTTAATTTATAAAGCACTAAATTATGAACTGTGTTTTGAAGGCAAAAATACATGTTTTCATCTGCTGCTACATCTTTAAAGTTATTGTAGAATACAGTCAGAATGTTAGTTTAAACCTGATATACGGTATATGCTGCCCATATTACACCAGATATCATGTAGCCTTTCTTTTTGAGAGGAAGTTGAACAATGTAATTGTCAATGCAAATTAAATTAAATAGTTTCCTTCAAATCAAAAGTCAATTTGAATCATGGAATTGGAGAATTTTGATAAGCCTATAAGTTAAATGTATTCTTTGGGTTAATTTTATTTGGTTTAAATGTATTTTAACTCAAACTAGGGGTGGGCGATACCACAAAATCTGGATTCGATCCGATACCAAGTATTTCAGGGCCAGTATCGCCGATATCGATACCAATACTTTTTTAAATGAAAAGCGTCTTATGTACTTTCATATAGGGGGGAGCTGCATGACATGATTGTTGAGCTGAAAGCATCATAAATAGACTAAATCTGAATTCATTTTCATGAATAAAGACAGGACAGTTTTTATAGACAAATAAACGTTTTACTTTTGCAAATTTAAAGTGCAAACATGAAAAATAACAATACCAAGTGGCCACAGTAGCGAACTGCCTTCTTGCACACATCACAGTTCGCTAAGTTCGCTAAGTTTTCATTGCCAGTTGTAAAATAGCTCCACACAACGCTCCTCTTTCTCTCAGCCATCATGCGCGTGTGTGTGTCGCACAAGCGAGTCGCTGGCTGCTGCTGTCCTGCCCTGCTGGCTGCTGTCAGTCAGCTTGATAATCGGCGTTCAGGCAGGGAGCGTGCTGCGCGTGCGCGAGCCTCGAGGAGAGGAGGACAGCAGTGGAGAGAGAAGAAAAGAGCGCATATACTTGTGTTCGTCTGCACATAGTTTTTGATGAAATTGACGAGTAGAGGAGAGGGGGAAAAAAAGTATAAAAGTATCGATCCTATTGGCTCTAGTATCGATATTTTGAAACGTAACGTAATATCGGAAGTATCGATATTTTGGGATCGATCCGCCCACCCCTAACTCAAACCATAAAACCAAACCAGGTAGTTTCGTTGCCTAAACCCAATCTCCAACATCCTTTGAGGGCCACCAAAGTCTGCTCAGATAATTGGTCAATACTACTCTGACTAGAAACACCCACTAGAGTGCTTCTGATACTAAAATCCTGTCCCGTAGCCTTCAGATTCTGCAGTCATATGCTGTTTATAGAGACTAGCCTACACCTAAACTTTGAATTTTTTAGGGCTGTCAAGTTAACTCGTTAATAACTATGGACAATCATGCGATTAATCGCAATTAAATATTTTAATCGACTGACAGCCCTAGTATTTTTGTAAGCAGAAGGTTATGTTATTTCTTCTTTCCAAAGTCTCGCATTAATGCAACAATGGATGGTTAAACCAGATAAAGCAGTTTACAGGACCACACTTCTGGATATCCAATTGATCATTCTATGCCATGGCTTGTTCATTACAGCAAACATCTCTCTCTGAGACACATTTTGTTTTACAGTGAAATGATGAATTATGCCTTCTCTGCGTCTAGGGGCAACCACTGCTCCCTGTCTAATCTTCATCCTACCGGGACTGTTCTACATCCGGATCATCCCCACTGACCACGAGCCCATGAACTCCAGACCAAAGATCCAGGTAGGTTGAGTTCTCTCCCTGACTGAGAAGGCAGACACAACAGTTCATGGAAGTGAAACTAGTTTGTCCTTGTGATTCTAATCTTTTGACATATTCTCTTTGGGGTTTCAGGCTGCGTGTTTCACAGCATTGGGTTTCATATTCATGACCATGAGCCTGACATTCATTGTGCTTGACTGGATGAGTGGAGAGAAGCGAAACCTCGGCGGCCATTGAAGTGCACCCCAAGCTTTAAAGCAATCCTCCCTCAAGTCCTTTTGATGGGAAGCCAGATGGAACATACTGCTGAAAGGCACGGCTCTTTGGTGGGACTGTTTGTATTCATCATAAGGACAACCCATTCCTCCACAGTGATGAGAGGAGCCCAGTCTTGTTATGTAGACCACCAAGGTTCAAATATACGGCACCACCAGGATCCATCACAGGTGGTGCTCCTCTGTACAGATGAACAACATGTTGATCATGGAAGCCCCTCAACCATTAAAAACCTCAACTGAGGATAAATGTGGTGTCAAGTAACAGCAACATTCAAACATCTGTTTAATTATCAGCAAAGTTTGATAGCAAAAAAGGAATTGAATATGCATGAATTGCTTGTAGCATACCAAAACTGTATTGCTAATGTGTGTTTGTGTGTGTACCGGTATGTGTGTGTGTATAGATCATTCACTGTCTATCAGAGAATTGCACATACCAAATAAACAGCATAAGAGGGTGGAACCCAGTCCCTTTGTTAGTTTCAAGCTTAATGTTTGTATTGTTGGAAGATTTCTACTACACACTGCTGCTTAGAGCTCCAAGATGACCAATTGTTTAATGGAACATTACGATAACAGAGAGGCCAAGTCTGCGCACATCCAGAGATGCTCATGTGCAAAACAAAAAATACTTAAATTCAGGGCAAAAAGGAGGTCTGCAAACCGTAGTATAGAGTCAGAAATCAGCTCCAATCATTATCACCTGCTGGGGAGAAAACCGAAGGGAGAAACAAGGCTCCAAGGAGGCAACTCCAGAGGCCTGTACTACGAAGCCGGTTCAACATAACCTGGATATGTTTGAGTTAGCCGGTTGGCCTAATCCAAAACATACGCGCTCTCGCTAAACGGTCCTACGACGCGGGTTATCAAGTGGATCGCTCAAGCCAGCCGTAACCTATCTAGTTAGGTGCGCGTTCACATAAAAGGGACGGGGTTAGCAACATTTGACCAATCACAAACATGGAGAAGCGCACTGACAGCGCAGCGTCATACTTCCTGAATGAAAAGTGAACTATAATTAGACAAATATGAAGAAGTTAAACTTTAAACATCCATGACTTAAACACTTTATCCAGGATAAAAGCCACATAGCTGCACCTGCAAGGTGAATACAGCTGGTAAAAGAAAAAGTGTTTGAATGCGTACATTAACAGGTTTATGATATCACTGCCCCGTCTAAGACACGAGTGGATCTGACTTTAATTACATTTGACTCGAGTGTTTCGTCAACTTAATGTGTTGCTTAAAATAATACTTCTGCATACAGTATGTGACACTGTAAGTGTTGCACGGCCAGATACGGCTCAGCTGACTCAGATAAGGAAATATATGATACATTATGATGTGATATGAATGATAATGGGACACATCGACGTCTGCACTCAGTGCCGCGGACTGTACTTATGTTGCTTTGATCCGGTTACTTAAGTTGTGGCAGATATTTAAGTAAGCTTTCTTAACGGTAATGTTATAATAGTCAGATTGCTCTGAAGATGGGAGGGGATATTCTATTAATGTTCACGTTCACACAGTCAGTTGATTTTTGCCGGCCGTCTTTCCTACAACGGCAGTTTTTCTGTATTTCCTCTATCCTGTAATATGACTTGATAGCTTTAAACTCCGCACACGGAGCTCTGATTGGTCAGCAGGCGGTGCTTTCACTGAGTTGATCTCTTAGCCTGCAACCTAACCTGCTCCGGAGCAGGGGCCTATACTACGAATCAGGATTTTCGTTTAGCAAGCTAACTTCAGGGGTTTCCGGTCCTAAGAAGCTGGTTCACTTTTTAGCGGGCTAGATAACTTATTCTGAACGGCTAGCCTCCGGAGCAGGATAGGTTCTAGGATAAAAGCACTGCTTGCTGACCAATCAGAGCTCCGTGTGCGGAGTTTAAAGTGATCAAGTCATATTACAGGATAAAGGAAATACAGAAAAACTGCCGTTGCAGGAAAGACGGCCGGCAAAAATCAACTGACTGTGTGAACGTGAAAATTAATAGAATATCCCCTCCCATCTTCAGAGCAATCTGACTATTATAACATTAGCGTTAAGAAAGCTTACTTAAATATCTGCCACAACATAAGTAACCGGATCAAAGTAACATTACGTAGCCTAGTCCGCGGCACTGTGGGTGCAGACGTCGATGTGTCCCATTATCATTCATATCACATGATATCACATCATAATGTATAATATATTTCCTTATCTGAGTCAGCTTCTTGAGCCGTATCTGGCGTGCAACACTCAGTGTCACATACATATGCAGAAGTATTATTTTAAGCAACACATTAAGTTGACGAAACACTCGAGTCAAATGTAATTAAAGTCAGATCCACTCGTGTCGGGGCAGCAGTGATATCATAAAACTGTTAATGAACGTATTCAAACACTTTTTCTTTTACCAGCAGTATTCACCTTGCAGGTGCAGCTATGTGGCTTTTATCCTGGATAAAGTGTTTAAGTCATGGATGTTTAAGGTTTAACGTCTTCATATTTGTCTAATATTAGTTGACTTTTCATTCAGGAAATATATGACGCGCTGCGCTGTCAGTACACGGCTTGTCAATGTTTGTGATTGGTCGAGCACTCCAAATACCACCCCTTTTATGTGAACGCGCACCTAACTAGATAGGACACGGCTGGCTTGAGCGATCGAGTTGATAGCCAGCGTCGTAGGACCGTTTAGCGAGAGCGTTTTTAATTTTATTTAGTCAACCGGATAACTCAAAACATATCCAGGATATGTTGAACTAGATTCGTAGTATACCCCCCAGGTTAGCCGCTCAGCATAAGTTACCATGGAGATCTAGCCCGCTAAAAAGAGAACCAGCGTCGTAGGACCGGAAACCCCGAGTTTTCCCTGAAGTTAGCCCGCTAAGCGAAAATCCGGCTTCGTAGTACAGGCCTCTGGAGCCTGCTCCAGAAAACAGAAACAAGAGGATACTCAGGAAAATAAACAAATAACATAAAATGTTAATGTGACAAAAGCTGAAAAACATGTGTTGTTTATTTGATAAGAAGGTAGTTAAAGTAGTAAAGTTTATCGTTATACATACATTTATAGATAGATGTTTAAAAATACAAATACAACCAGGCAGGCACAAAGCATTAAGATTTATACACATGGCACCCTGACAACCAAAAGTCTTGATTTGAAACATTTATTGTGCTTAATAAGGATTAATGGCTAACATGGCCATTACTGTACATTGTAAGGCAACCCTGTCTCAAATTATGTTCCCACAGAACTAAACTGCATTCTCAATTACGTTTAGCTAGAAACGTATTTTCTCCCACGTTACGTTTGTTATGAACGTATCTCAAATACGTTTATTTTCTACATATCTTCTAGAAACATATTTTCTCCCACGTTACGTTTGTTATGAACGTATCTTAAATACTTTTTATTATTTTCTACATATCTTTGCCATTTATTGTCTTGCTTATAATAATGATAATAGTCATTTATAAATATCATTTTAGAGCACACATTTGAAATCGACGATCGGGCTCGATATATGGTTAAATTAAAATCAGTAGGCGAGGGTGTAATTTCAACACAGGCTCAAAGGCAATGTGAGCGTCCATTCCCATTGGATAACGGAGGATTTTACACCCGGAAGTAAGTATTCTCTTTACTGTCGATTGATTTTACAGTGATATCTGCACTACTCATCAACTCAAAAACACCAGATTATCCTTGTTAATTACACAACATTGATTGGTTTAAATTGTGTGCAATACTTTTGTATTTTTCCCCTTCGATTCGGAGAAACACATATTTTTTCGGAGTTTAGGATGGCAGAAGACACTACACTACCCAGAATCCTCAGCTATCGTTTGGGACTACACCATGTGCTTTGCTTGACAAACCCCGTGATTAGTCTTCAAGCTCTGTGATTGGATGTTGGAGTGGCAGTGCGCAAAGTTTACACCGAGCGTCAAACAGCAGTTTTGAAATGGAATGAAACCCATCGACGACCGCCCCCCCCCCTTAGGTCACAGGCTCCTCCAACAGTGCAACACAATAAAACAGATACACAGAAAAAATAGTGCAAGTAAATACAAAAAGAAAAATAGTCAAATAGTAAAAAGTGAAATAGTGCAATAAGAGTCTATATACAAGTGATTGGAATATGATATATTAGACAAATAATTTCTAAGTAGCAGCCAGATGAATGTTATGGATGTTGTTTCTAAGTTCAGGTGTTTAATAGTCTTATGGCCTGTGGGATGAAGCTGTCCCTGAGTCTGGTGGTTTTAGTCCTGATGCTGCAGTACCGCCTGCCAGATGGCAGCAGACAGAACAGTTTGTGGCTGGGATGATGGGGGTCTTTTATAATCCTGAGGGCTTTCTTTAAGGTTAACCTGGTATTTTTACTCCACTACATTTATTTTAGTTACTTTGCAGATTCTGATTAATGATGTGAAATATAAACAACCCTTAAATCAGACTTTAGTTACACCTGAGTAAAATTCAGGGAAGGTGATTGTCAAGTGCCAACAATCAGGAGAGATATTTGGTAGTGGGTGCTTGAGAAGACTAAACATTTATCTGCAGATACCTATAAAGTATATTCATTACTCGTTATTCTCTACTAATAGTTAATTAAAGACTGTATAATGGCTATTTTGCACATCCCTTTCAAGATTTCATGATTTTCTAAGGTTTATTGACATATCATATACACAACTACGGTGTAGTTATGCAATGAATGAAAAACTTGGGTCACAAGTTCCTCAACAGTGCATTACAAGACATCTATCAATATGTGTGTATACCTCCACCATTAAACTGTCAAATTCTGCACATTTCTTATTCTATCTACATACATCTTATAAGAGTATAATTCATATGTATAATATCAGTTAAAATAAGTGCTTCAACATAGTTAACATTACAGGAAAGCAATATATTAGACGTTAAGTACTTTGTCAGGCTTAATATTTATCTGTAGATACCCCCAAAGCTGTTTTCTTATTTAAAAGAAGACCTTAACCTAAAGCATTCTTTAATGTGTTAATAAAAGTTAATTAGTTTGTCTGTTTTGCACATCCTCATATTAATATCTTTATACATCCGGCACTAAACTGTTTTATTGTAGAGATCACTTACAGTATCTTCTTGATTTTTTATATTCTATATTTCTATCATTGACCTTCTACTTTCACCCAATGAAAGTATGTACTCTTAATATTTTTTTCATCAAATAACATTATTCAACAAAAATAACATTATTCAACAAAGATAATTCAATAACGTGCTTTAACCACTAGGCGGTGCACACAAGGTACACACAGCATACTAATAATAACTTTGTATTATTAGTGTAGGACACTTATATATATATGTACATATATGTATGTATAACATCTGAAGATGTGTAGTTTTATTCATGTTTTTACATAATTTTACAGGATATTGCTATACTATTTCTCATGTTTTACTTCTACACATTAATATCTGATT